GATTAATAAGCATAATGATATATTAAAACAAACAAAAATAGATAACTTGTTGAAATATCTAGATGGCAGGAACAGGTAGCCCAGATGCTCAAGCAGGCCGACTGTCAAACAATGGCAGTAAGACTGCAGACACAACATAGTTAGTACGTACGTAACAGTGCCGATACACCAGACATAACAGTTTTAGTTTGTATTCGAATTGGGATTACCAATTGTAGCGTGGCGTCGAGTTGAGATTAACTATGAACACCGCTACCAAGATACACGTGCCAAATAGATCAGAAGGCGTAAGAAGCTCGTTCCAAATGACTCCATAAAATCCCCGAGAAGCCGAATACCAGAAGGCAATTAATGGACCAAGTCGATGTTATATTTGCTGGCGATCTCGTGGCATCGAAAGGATACCGAGATCGTGCCAGGATACAAGCTTGGTTACAGAAGGTAACCGAATTCGCGCGAAGTTACAATTGAAGTGTAAGTATAAGAATGGAAGCACAAAATGGCTATACTTAGCACAGTTAAACAAAAGCACATTAAAACAAACACTGGTACAGTTGGTTATAATAATAATTGTTTTTATTAAACCAGTCGTGTTCTCGTGATAAACGTGAGTCACCACAGGAGTCCCCCGCTAGAAAGGGTTAACACTTTCGATAAATGGCGGTTTAAATCGTGGGACTGATCGGCTGGCGAGCGATTGTAGGACGGAAGAATTGGCGAACAGGAAAGCGATCGTTGATCGTCGAGTTGCCAACGAAGGTCGTTTTCGGAGAACGGTACCAGGAGCGATGTGCTGTATTTGCTGTTTGAGTTGGCATGCTACACCAGAGTGGTTTGTATCCAGAAGCTGAAGATGGCGTTCGTAGGCAAAGCGGACCAGAAACGCTGCAGTCGTAGGACGAAACCACGTTGAGCCAAAAGACCAGAAGCGACCGTAACGACCAAGTTCGAGACCAAGCGTACGCCAAGCATTCGAAACCAATATATCGACTGAGTACGTTGACAAGAGCATGGGTGATCAGGCCAGCTTTCGCCAAAGTTGACTGAAGTCGACGGAACCAAACGGAGATGGTCGAAGGCGTGGGCTCAGGAAACAAAAAGAAAATCAAAAAAAGAAGAGTGTAGCATATGTATAGTATAGGAATAATCCTACACCGTATCGGTTATTGACTGTGCGACTAGTCGCGGAAGCGTACGGGTAACCGTACTCGGCGACCGGAACGTGAGACGGCAGTCTCGTTCGCGTCGCGTGAGCCTGCAATCTCATCCGAAGTCAAGGGCGGCGTGGTCTGCTGATCTGGACGTGAGACTGTCGTCTCGTCCGTAGACGGTGCAGATGACGCGTGCTGTTGACTGGGACGTGAGAATGAGGTCTCAGATGTATCTAGCGTGGGACCTGGAGAAGATTTAAGGATCCCGCTAGGTTTGATAGGTCTAGCATTGAATCTCAGGGTGTCAGATAGGGCACTGTCATCGACGTGTGCTGGTTTGAGACGATCAATGCTGACGATCTCGACGCGTCCATGTCGATCAACCTTGAAGGTCTTTTCGTGACGAGCGATCACGTGAAAAGGGCCTTCGTAAGGTTGTTGCCAAGGTTTGCGTACCGAATCTACTCGTACAAAAACATGTGAACAGGTAGATAACCCTCGAGAGAGAGCGACCTGTCGATGTTGTATTCGAGTTGACACCGGAGACAGCGTTCACATAAATGCAGACAGTCGACGGACGTTGTCTGATTTACCGAAATTAGGTCTGCTCCGTGGTGCGAAGGATTCTCCGGGCAGACGCAATGTCGTGCCGTATACCATTTCAGCGGCGGAACATTGTATATCTGCCTTCAAGCTCGTTCGAATACCTAAGAGGACGAGCGATAAGGTTTCGTACCAGTTGTCGTTCTCGTGTGCTCGTAGAGCACTTTTAAGTTGGCAATGAAACCGTTCAACTTAACCATTTGGTGCTGGGTGGTAGACGGATATGCTTATGCGTATGCATTCCGTACCAAGCAGCCGGGTCAGCGAGGAGAATCGTTAATAGGGTAACATTTCTCGAATAAAGCGTGGAATTCATCATCACACGAATAAAAAGTGACAAGGATTCGGTACACATACGTGTGAGTCTATTATATTAATACTATTCTTATCGTTATCCGTCATGTCGCGTATATTAAATATTAAAAAATATGAAAATATACGACAGACGTGGATAGATAAATCATAAACTCACCGAATTGGCTTCTTTGGAAGATTTGATCAGAAGCTGAGGCGTGTTCCAAAATACGGGTCACCAATTGTATTCGAATTGGGATTACCAATTGTAGCGTGGCGTCGAGTTGAGATTAACTATGAACACCGCTACCAAGATACATGTGCCAAATAGATCAGAAGGCGTAAGAAGCTCGTTCCAAATGACTCCATAAAATCCCCGAGAAGCCGAATACCAGAAGGCAATTAATGGACCAAGTCGATGTTATATTTGCTGGCGATCTCGTGGCATCGAAAGGATACCGAGATCGTGCCAGGATACAAGCTTGGTTACAGAAGGTAACCGAATTCGCGCGAAGTTACAATTGAAGTGTAAGTATAAGAATGGAAGCACAAAATGGCTATACTTAGCACAGTTAAACAAAAGCACATTAAAACAAACACTGGTACAGTTGGTTATAATAATAATTGTTTTTATTAAACCAGTCGTGTTCTCGTGATAAACGTGAGTCACTACAAGTTCATCCACTTTTCAGAAGTACATAAAAATAAAAGATGGTGTGTGTGATACTGATGTCGATAGATATCAGTAGTATGTACCATCAACTGAAAGTGAAATACCTAACAGCAAAGGTGAAGAGCGAAGAAAAGAGAACAAGAACAAAGAATGAATGTTATAGAAACGAAGGAACAATGAAGTCTGAGATGACTGACTGATATTTGCAAAGGAACAGTCAAGTTTTAGACAATTGATTGACATTTCGCAAATTATTTATTGTATGGCTCTCAGATTTTCCTATGTTCTGTAATTTTGTGTTTAAATGCATTCGATTGTACCCACTTGTGTCCTCATTCACTGCAATAGACCTAAAACATAACGGTATTTTCTTTCTTACGGTACAACGAAAAGTGGATATGTCCACGTTGCGAACGTCCGTTTCAAGTCACGCCTCTGGTTTTAACTATAGTGGTCCAAAAGTAACAGATCCATATACCCAGAAGACACTACATTTATGATATCTCTCTGATAGCTGATTACTGAAAATGACTTAGCAGTCATGAACTATGTATAATGTTAAAAAACCCACTGTAGATATTGCCAGTTTAGTGATAGTACATAACATGAAGTGAGTGATTTGTCCGTGAATCCCTCTGTGTCTTTCTAAACATTATTATCAGCACAAGTAGTCGATATCTAGTTGATGCGTAATTGTGTTGCTCTGTTACTTTGATTATGTGCTCCCCTACTTTTTGGTTAGTGGCTGTTTTTTCTATAGGCTGATATATCCAATCTATCAACATGTATATCAATATCTACACTACTTTTAGACACATTTTGGTAAATTACTTCCTCCTAACTGAAGTTTCGGCTCAGACATTCGATAAATAAACCAACTGGCCTGAAAAAAAGCCATACGTTATCAAACTAGTAGCTGTGAGCTACGAATCTTCATCATCTTATGGTATACAACTGAAAATATTTCACTGCAAAAATAACTAAAACAAGCAGACCTATTACGTATTCTGTATACAAAAACTTTTTAGAAATTAAAACACAACAAAAATGATATATTCACATGTACTTTTTTAATTGTGAGCATAATGGTTTTAGAAACGAAATCGAATGTCAAAAGCAGTTATATCCAAGTGGAGTGAATTTATGGGTTACTGATGAAAATTTGATTAAACACTTTTTAAAAAAAAAAGATTTCGAGAGGTGTACATCCAGTTAAATAAACTGTTATGATGGTATTTTGTTTTATTAACCGATATATATATATATATATATATATATATATATATATATCAAATATTATTATAAGAGAAAAATAGGAGAGGATGCGATACATATACATATTTGTTATATAATAATATCAGGATCGTCACAACATAGAGAGATTATTTAATCGTGTAGTAGGATGTAGAAGAAATATGTTTATAAAACAATAGGATTGCACAAACTAACACTACTACACATAAACAACTATCTTGAGAATGGAGAAGGAAGAAAATGCTCTGACAATTTTCATTAGTTTTTGTTTGAAAAAAAGTACAACCAACTTGGTGGTGACAACAACGCTTATCCCTTGAATGTTTCACTGGTTTATATATATATATATATATATATATATATATATATATTGCCTACACATTATCTTCTCATTAAAAGACAGCAACAAAAGAAATAAAATGAGGAAAATGCATACAACAAATAAAAGTGAACAGAAATTTTTAAAAATACAAACAAACAAAAGCCACATTAATTCGAAATAAGAATATGGACACGTACATAGGTTAAACTAAAAATTTGTGTTGAAAGACAACCAAAATTTATAAAAAGAACTTTGAGCAATATTAATAAGTAAGAACAATAAATGGAATAGAAATAGGCAAATATTACATTGTTATTAAAAGCATGCATACTATGTATATATACTGAACACTAATAATTTGTATTAATGTTCCTTGTGAAGCAGAAATTCTTTGTAATTCAACAAATGATTTATACGTGTGAATTACTATACACAAATGCAATTCGTTTGTCTGTTAGTTGAAAAAGTAAATTGAGATCAATTAGATTACAAAATGTATGTATATGAGACACTGGAGAGTTTGATGTGCATGTATTTTTAAAAAATTAGTCAATAATGATGTTCTTAATAGAATAAAACGATAGAATATTAATGTACGACGGATATTAGTAGGTCCGAAAATGGTAAATAAAACCAGCCAATAATTAAATTGTCACGTTAGTGCAGAATGTAAAGAAAAACGAATCCGGTTGATACAGCTATTTCAAGATATAATGGCACGTCGAAATGAAGGTGAAGATGTTAAGCTATCCAAACTACCCCATTTTTTCTTGGTAAGACATTTTTGAACAAGATCATGAAATTGATCGTCCATTACTCGTGAAAATGCCTAAATATAAGTTAATAATCAGGTACTTTCAGAAAAGTAGTTGTGTAATCATAAATTTATATAATAATTCTCATTTTTACTCATTTTATTTCCGTTATACATTTATCAACACACTTTGAAGTCCGAATGCTCAGAATGTTGATAATTTACTAAGATATTTAAGTCTAATCATCTTTTAAATTTTTGTAAAGGTCTTAAAGAATGTAGGACAGTTGATGGCATACTCGAACTTTTATTGTACAATAACATGTATGTCATAGACGGATTACATCAAAATTTATTACGTGGATTAATTTATTTATCCTTCCGAAATATTTTCATAACACCGTGATTATACAGTACGTCACAGAAATCGTATACGGGTATTCGTTCTTCAGAGTATTATTTTACGTAATTGAAATCAAGTACCACGGATTAAGTTGAAAAACTCAAGCATCTTGACAAGAGATTATCACATGACAGGTACTTCGTTGAATGTTTGAAAGATACTAGCTGTGGGAAAGATTACTGAACAGTAGTATCACAGTTCTTAGACAAATTATAGTATGAAACACTAAAATATGAGCTTGATTCTATCTTATTTTAAATCCGAATAATTACAGAGGTTAAGCATCATAATCAATATAGTTCATGATAGAACAAACAAACCCTAGTATCTTGATACTATGATTTATTTATCATGTGCTTTGAAAAATGTCATATTTTATAGATATCAAAATGAAACAATATCTTACTAAGACTTCATGTTTCGATAGCATTTTGATATTCAAAAAAACTGGACCTTACGTATAAATAAAGACTAACATCATATAGCTATTCGAACATATGAGTGCTATTTATTAGTCTCACAAAAAAACTTCTAAAACCTTTACTAGTTCTTATTTCACTAATTAACTTTTTCACAGGAAATGGGATAAATATGTCATAGTGATTCCAAGCCGGTATACTATCCCCATAAAATTGTAAACGGAATCGAGAAAGTTCGCATATATATCTATATATACCTCAAGTTTATAGGCACGATCGGTAGATAATAACGTTGGCTGATAACTAGGTCCACATAGTGATCTAATATCAAAATAATATTTCGCATAAACTGAACTAGGTACATTAATATTGAATTGAATTATTTCCAAAAATCGTCTTTCTAATTCATTTCTAAAAATAAAAAAAAGAAAGTAATTTTTACAATAACAAAAAAAGTTATCAATAAGTAGTCAAATGAATTTCTCTAAAAAAAATTTTAACCGAACACAATATTTTGAGAAAATGTTTATTAAAAGCAACAATGAATCAAAATGTAAACGGTACGTTCACAAATCAATTTAGAATGTTTACATAGATATCTAGAAAAAAACTAATTTTTAACCATTTTAGTCATTTGAATGAAAAAAAACCTACACGTTCTCATTTCTGTAGACAATTCAAATTTTTAGATTTATCCATTATGAGATTTTTTAATTCCTGTGTATAACAGTCAAAATAGAAAGTTGAAAAATAAAATATGTGGATCACATACAATTCAACGACGCCTCATATGCCATCTACACACATAATATCTTAAGGTTATAAGTCAGATGAAAGTATAAGTGGATATAAGTAAATTAATTACGCAGCAGTCAAAATCCACTATTCACATGTTCACGAAGTTTTCCTATCTGTAAGTATAAATGAGCTGTAGGTATTTTAATAGGCTTTTGACAAAACAGTTTCATATACAGTTTTGTCTCTACTCTCTGTCTAGTTTAGCTGTCTAGGCATGTGAACAGTATCTTTACAGAACTACAAATGACAAAAGTATACCAAAGTTACAACTGCTACGTGTGGCATGATGCCTGAATCTTTAAAATACAAATAGAGATAGCATCAAAGAATCTCCTGCTTTGTTTTGGGCACCCGGGCAGTATCACAGCCTACACACAAATCAAGTGACTTGTGTGGTGCATATTTATTCGGTGCCCCTTCGTACCAATTTTTATGTGCTCAAATAAATCAGATTCTTGAACAAAAAGAGTATAGGTTCAAGTTCTCAAGGAATGTTATTAAAGTTTAGTGAATCACTGTGATAAATCTTGTGCCTCTCCACAAAGTTGGCTAATTATGTATGTATGTTTGAAATAAAAGCATCTATCAAACTCAGGGCTCCAATCAAGACATTTGACCAACAGTAATTGATCTTGTAGAAAATTGGTGTGTTTTAATCTCATTATTTTTAGTTTATTTTCCAACCTAATCCTTAATACAGTTGGTACATGAAGCTTTGAATACAGTAGAAAGAAATTAGATATAAAACAGCATTGAGTTAAGGGAAATTTCATGTGCATATATCAACTCTACTGTACCTAAACAAAGACATTAAAAATTTTGAAAAAAATATACATATAGAGAGAAACCTTATCAGATATTACATGCTATATCATTTTTTTATTGAGTGAAGTCAGGTGCTTGTAGCTTACATAAATTCACTTTACTTCATGATGTCAATAATGGTAAAAAAAAAGCGTTGACAATCAGTAGTACATATTTTCATAGTCATTATTTTTTAATGAGGTGAACGAAAATATTACAGAATAATAAAAATTACAAGTTATAAAATTCGCCTTTAATTTATACGTGCGTGCACTGTGTTGATATGACATGGTGGTTGGAGGTAGTCGACAGGAAATTATGAAACAAGATATTGTGCTATTCGGTACTCGTCAGCAAAGTGTACCTGTAATTTTGAGGGAACTGATGCTTCCTGAAGGACCCGATCCCGTGTCACCCAGCTTTACAGTCAGAGACGTTATCACTAAGCTATACAGGCCGCGACTGACCTTGTGTAGGCCTGGAACGTATTAACAATCCATTGATCACTGGATAGTGATCGACTACCTCCAGCCAAAATAACACTTCTAGTTTAGTCGGTTTGTCACATAAAACACTACTGACTTTGATAGCATAAATTAATCTCAGTCAGTCAGTCATCTAAAACGTAGAACCAGGCATATATATGCATCGGTCCAAGTTGCCATATCTTATTAGCACAGGAGAACACCAAATTCATAGAAGCAGTTACTTTGATGGTAGTAATATATATAAGAAAAGATTGCATTTAGAGATATGATACAGGGAGAAAGAATTGGTTCGTGGAAAGAAAGGTATAAAGTCATTTTAATCTCACGGTTTAAGGGAAGACAAAGAGTGTATATAAACTACTTTAAATGACCTTAGTCATTGATCATTATACACAGAATTCTTGTTTCATAATAATGAACAAACTGCAACGTAAATTTTTAGCCTTTTTTGTGATTTATTGTTCAGCAATTACAAATAGCACGAGTGTAAGAGTTTTATAAATTTTATGTGGTGTTTAGTATTCAATTCTAGTCATCCATACACACTCAAAAGTCACGTTAAACTCAGTAGATATTTCGAAGATATCAGTGTTAAAATATACTATTTTGTTTACCATTCTAATAAAAATAGATACACAATCGCACCATATACTAAATAATTAGTATCTATGAGGACTTTATCAGTGTCACAGATGAAACAATGTAATTAAAGAGTTGAACCTGTACACGTACGATATATAATTAACATTCTGATAACAACGTACGTTATCAAAATCAAAACTTTTGCTAAACGTAAGTTGAACAATTAAGAGTTTGAACTAAACAGCTGGTATTTTTTTTCAATTATATACGTGAAGAACTAACTTTCAACAACTAAGTTTTCAATTTGAATCGGACTGTATCTATTACAGCTTAATAAGTCAATTATTAGTATCACTAATTCCTGTGTAAGAAATGTGACTCAAGATGAAAACAATGACCTATATTTTTTGTTACTGGTACTCATCATCTAAGAGATATAGAAAAGTCAGCAGAAAAATTACTGTTTTGTTTACAGATTGATGACAATAAGTTCAAAACAAGATGGAATTTACAAACGATTTAATGAAAAAAATGTACATATATATAGCGAGAGAACCAATCAATAAATCACAAAAATGTTTAATTGATCATCATAAAGAAACGAAAGTGAAATGTATTTTTATTATCTACTTAATGAAAGCTATTGCACAGTATGCGTGCTTCATCTCTATTTCATAAGATCAACTTTCACGACAAGTGTTTATTTTGAAGAAGAAGAAGAAGAAGAAGAAAGTAACATTTATTTTCAAATAAAAGTTTAATTTGAAAAAAGTGTGGTTAAAACAAATCTAATCTATCAAAAATATGATCCATATACATTATTATACGTAGGCTGTTAAATCCGTTTTATTAGATAGTATGGTTGTGTAGATGTTATTACTTAAACTTAACTCCCATCTATAGGGTAGATAATCTGACCAGTATGAAAACTGAAGTCACATAAACTTTAATTTACAAATTTTACAGAACATTAAACTTATTCTATTCAAAACTCCATACTTTTGATAATACATATGTCATTTATATCGTTTAAAACATCTCTGGAAGTCCTCAGAAGTCAGATTCTTCAGGTATCATATTGTCTCATACAATTTTCTCAATTCCAAATAATTTGCTAAATTCGTGTGCACAAACCATTTTCTTCCACATTTAGTCTGTCAGTGGCGATTGAAACACACAAGAGACTGTATGGATTCAGCTTCATTAAAACTGGAGATCGACGGTTGTTTTTGTGTTTAAAAAGTCATGACCCCTCATGAAACCTTAGGTTTACTTGAGTACCGTTGTTGTATATAATGTATTATTTTAGTAAAAAAATAATAATAATTTCCTCATGAATTTGCAGTTTTTTCCGAGTTCTTTTTCGGGCACTCATTGGACAGTAAATGTAAGTTAGCTGGTCATCATAATTCATTAAAAATGAGTTGACATAAAAGTATTAACTCCAAACAAACTGTCGTTGTGTTATATATTCAATTCAATACAGTTCAAAAAAAGAACTACTATTCATTTAAAATATTCAGCATTTATTTTAAAACCCTGGTAACAAAATAATTTCGATAACTTTAAAGAGATTGAAATTAACAGTTCTCATTAAAAAATTTAAGAACAAAGAATATTACAGAGAACGATCGTTATCGATAACTTTTTTATCAGGCTCTACAATTAACAATCCAAAATGATTATTATTGTGTTACAATAGAAATAATCTATGTCATAAATTGGAAATGTCAAATTTCAACTTTAATATTTTATCTATTGTATTATAATCACAATAATTTTGAATTGATAGCTCTAGAGTCTGATAAAGAAGTTATCGATAACGATCGTTCACTGCAATATCTTTTGTTCTCAATAAACAGTGAATACAACTGTAATATAGGTCAAGTCGGTCAATCGCAACGTAGAACCTAGTACGTATCTATATCGGTTCAAGTTACCATATACCATTCTATACATGGAACGTCCGGACAATGAGGAAGACCAGTAAAATAGCAACGGAAATGAGGAGATAAAACTTGGCAGTACTGGGAATCCGCGAAACCCATTGGACCAAAGCTGGACAACAAAGGCTAAATACGGAAGAGACGTTGCTATACTCTGGTCACGAAGAGGAAAATGCTCCACACACTCAGGGAGTTTCTCTAATGCTGTCCAAAGTAGCACGAAATGCACTTGTAGGATGGGAATCTCACGGATCCAGAATCATCAAAGCATCATTCAAAACAAGGAAGGAGGGGATCACAATCAATATTATCCAATGTTATGCACCCACCAATGATAGCAACGACGACATTAAAGATCAATTCTATGGGAGGCTGCAATCAATCACAGAGAAGTGCCCAAGAAACGACCTCACCATTCTAATGGGAGATCTAAACGCCAAAGTCGGAATAGACAACACCGGATATGAAGATATCATGGGACGACATGGACTGACTGGGAGAGAGAAACGGAAGTGGAGAAAGATTTGCAAATCTGTGTGCATTCAACAAATTGGTCATAGGTGGCGCAACATTTCCACACAAACGTATACACAAAGCTACGTGGATCTCACCGGACCACACCACAGAGAACCAGATACATCATATTTGCATCAACAAAAAATTCCGAAGGACAATAGAGTATGTGATAACCAGGAGAGGAGCTGACACAGAGATGAAATGTTCAGGCCAAACCCCAAAATAGCAGAAGTAGTATAGATCAAGTAAGGTATAATGAGTTTCATGTTACTTGTAAAAACAATAAACATGCTTACATCTCATGTATAAACACAATGAAAGAGTGATTCATGTAAAGAGTCAGAGGATTTAATTATTATCCTCATATTATGTAGACCTCATTTATTATAATTTTATGTGACTATTAAAAAGCCATGGTTAGCATTTGATTAAATGAATAATTTAGAAATAATTAAGTGAACAACTCAAACATATCTGATTCAATTACAAACTGACCGACGTAAAAGCCAAGAAATCTAAACATGTAACTCATAAAATACGTTCCTTTTAATAATATACTTTATCAATGTACTTGTTAACTAAAAATAGCTTATGCAAAGTTAATAGAGTGATAACTAAGTGTTGAAATCAATTAACATAATGTTTTTCAATGATAATTTACTTCAGTCAATGTAAAATTATCACTTATTCCTAAAAAAACACCTATTCCATTTTTTATTAATACTTAATGTCAAAGGTTTATAAATCGATTGCTGTTTTGTCTTGTCATTCCTTTTTTATATAATCATTATTCCCATCTATCATTCATTTACCTTAGTTAAGTAACCAGTGGAAATCAGGAAGCATTGGTTCAATTGTAAGAGCACTAGTTACGGTTGGAGTTTAGCTATGTCAGGATTGAGGCAGTTACCCACTGAAGGAAATGGGAGATGGTTGTGTAGTATCGCGAGTTGGTTGAAGTTAGCTATCCAAATCATTGGATACAGGCTTTTTGATCTAAAGGCTTGCCTTGAGGCCGGAATATCCTAGGATGCATCATCGGTGAAGTCATTAATCTGTACTGTTGAGGGGTCTTACAGTAAGATTAGGAAATTGAAAGCCGACTTATAATTACTATCGATTATGTATGTATTCAAACAAACAAAAAAACTGTGATTTGGCCAAATGAAACCACCTGTCTACTAAATGTACATTTGTAAATACTAAGACGGGATTAGGTTTGATACTGACTACAGAATTATTTTGAAAAAGAATCTATTCACTTTACAAATTCCTGTATTGAGAGATAGAGACACAGAGAGAGCAACGAGATGTACAGTTTAGGAATTAGCATATTCCATTAAACTCGTTCAAATCTACTGTTTCAGATCTGTGTGTACACACGTACACGCACAGAAAACAGGCAGGATTAACAAATTGGGCGAAGGGAAATAAAAATGAATGGAAAACTGCAAAACAATAAAAAAGCATTAGGTTTTAAATAATAACTAAATTTGGTTGACAAAAATAATTCGCTTATCATTGGTATTTGAATCATCCCATTAATGTTTAGAACTGTATTTGATCAGTTTCTTATTGGTAAATATACATCCTGTGTGGATTGTCCCCATATTGTCATTAAGTCACAAGTATTTCGGGCAGAGATGGATGGTAGTTAGTAGTGGAATACAGGACACAGGTTTTGACCTATTTGGGACGCACCAGCTTGATGTACTTGCATCCCAGAGTTGATGTTCACTCCGAGATTCCAGAACTCAGTAGCTAAGTGGACAACGGGATGACGTTTGAACCGAATGGTACTCACATTGAGTCTCAAAGTGAACCTCAATTCCAGGATCCCGGTACACCCAGCTGATGAGTCCCAAATAAGTCGAAACCCGTAGCCTGGATTCCACTGCTAGCCACCATCCATCTCTGCCTATACAAACAAAAATAGATTATGTAAGATATTATCACCGCTATTATTACTACTTAGTTAAAAGTTTTGATTTCAAGTTATGTGATTACGGAAATTTCAAATAGTTAAAAACTCTCTCTGCTTTCGAAAACAATAGAAACTGTTTTAGATTTTATTAATGGAGAATTGATTCTACTATTATTATTATTAGTAGTAGTAGTATTAGTAAAAACCCAAACATTGCTTATCCATCGGTCATTGCAGAGCATGGTATAGTGATAATAATTCAAAGGTATATTAGTTAATATATTAAATCCATTTATTATAAACTTTTTTTCTTTTTCCGTTCGATGTTTTTCATTGTTCCATTTATAGGAATTTAAATGAAAAATTTAACCAAATATGAAAACACTTGGATATGTAGTAGACCAAAACTAAATGAAAATGGGATAATTTATATTTGATATAAGTATGTGTGTGTGTTTGTGTATTTCTGTTTCGGTCAATAATAACAAAGGAACAAATATACATACATATAATTACTACCAATGACCGGTATCATTGTTTTCTTTAAAAAAGATTTGACATTGTCAATTTCTCATCATGAAAACAATATCGTAATACTCCACTGCTTATGTAATGCACATACGAAACAATTTTCATTACAAGATAACCACTTCATTCTCTCTCTCTCCCTCATTCCCCTCTCTTGCATACGCATAAACACAGAAATCCAACTCATCTGTCTATAGGATTTCTACCTTAACAAAGGAGTTATCTTTTGAAAGCAAAGCGCACTAAAATAAAAGATCAACTTTTTAAACAATTGTAAAGGAAACAAAAAAGAGATGTGAAAGAAAGGGATAGTTAACGTTATTCTGATTTATTGAATATTAATGGAAAGAAATATTTAAGCCCTTAAGTAATTATTTCTAAGTTATAAAAATTGGAATTTTGATGAGTAATGATAGAAAAATAAGGTGAAAATAATATTGCTGGGAAGGCTTACGTCGTTACATTATATCATTCATAATTCAATATAACGTATAGGAAAAATAATGTCGAATTGTGTTTAAGTTGAAAGTGACATTTACATATTTCAATAAACACTAAGTAAATTTCAGTGGTGAATTTTAAGTAGTATATGGCATAAACATAAGATTTGATATCAACTGGTTTGAGACAACTGATATAAGGCTTTAAACTTCATTTACATATCGACAAGTACTTATTATCAATATGTATAGGCAATGTTTAAGGAAATAACCCACTTCCTGTTGGGCCCCAACCCGGGTCTTTCAATATCACAACCACTAAAAGGTTTGGCTCGAAAATGATCTCCTGTAGGATTGAGAGGATTAAAGCAGTGAAACGGATGTGAACGTAATGTAGTGTCGAGAAAACAAAATATATGTATATTAAACCAACAGAGTACACAGTCCGAAACTTACACATCATCAACTTGCATATCTTTTAAAATTTGACAATAATCTACATTCCAAACAGCTTGGTCATCCCATACTTTACTAGCCAGTACTATAGCGCATAAAACTATTCTTTTCCAAGAACTTGGTGTCAATTCTGTCTCAGCACTAGTCAAAAGACGTTCCAAGTAAACCTATATAATAAATGTGATTTAAAAAATTAAAATAGGCTTCACTGATTAGCATTATTTGTACATGGTGATCTTCAAAATTTAGCAAATATCTGTATCGAAAGCAATAACTAGGCTTCATGAAAAACGAACTACAAGCGTTAACATTCTCTAATATTGACGATAGGATGTATTACAAATTTAAGGAAACAAATAGAAACTTAAGTGTTTTACAAGTTCAGTAATCATTCATGGACGTGATTACAACATGTAGAGCCCGATCAGACTTAACTGTCATTTCCACGTTACTAACTAAATTGATCGGTAAATTTCATTTTCAACTTTAGCCGGAGAGCAGTTGAACTTCGAGTGTTAACTGTACGATAAGGGGACAGTAAATTATAACCGGTATCATTGGCGACATCACTTTGTCGAAAAGGAGAAGTAAAATAACCATAGATGCAAAAATAGTATACTCTATTCATCCACAGAGAGTGGTCACTAACGTAAAATAGCTATCACTTGAGCTTTGGATAAACCAGCAAAACGAATCCGTATTCTTCAAATTTCATAATGACATACTTTCATAGCGCATCAATTGTCGATATACTTCCAACAGCACATGAGTACATTTTGTTATTCTTCTATACCTTTTCATGTTTCTTAGATTTTTATCTCTTTTGATTAACAAAAACTTTTCATCAATGTAATCTCCTCTTGCATGGATAAGTTGTTGTAACGATCCAACCTTACGAAATGTTATTCCTAGTCTTTTAAAATCTTATGATCCCGCGACATGCACGGTGTCCTTCTTAATCCCATATATAGAACATCAGCCTAGTTGTCCGCATGAACTTAAATAGTCAACGCTATGAACCTACATGATTTACTCTTCAGACACCTAGAGAACAGATAACAAATCATGGTTTAACATACGTACAGCACTAAGTTTGAAAGTGGAACTATCAGCAGTTGAATTTAAAATGTTTCAACTAGTGAGTTTTGTTGCCCCGATTAAGTACTTAATTATATGAAACTGTTTGAAATAATGTGAAATGGAGACGGAACGTTAAAGTCTTGAAGTCTACACATATGTATATTTCCTTCAGCATATTCAATAAAAAATATTTTTCTTAATTATATTTTAAAAATCAGATATATGTATATATGCTTTTAATTCGCTAATCTTTTTTTTCTCTATTGCAATAAATGCACATATTTATTATTCACATAAATACAAAAATATTTTTACTAAGTAATCATTTAAACTGCTATATGACATACCATAGTAACAATTGCACATTCTGGAGAAAGCTGGGCCATTTGGAATAAATTACGAATGAACCGATATACTGTTTTCAAATCTGGATCACGTGTAGCATAATCGAAAGGAACTGGCTCATTCTATACAACAACAAAAAACAATTATTTTTAAATGAAATGAAACTAACATGAAATATTTCAAATAGTTAAGTTTTAATCAGCTAATATATATATATATATATATATATATATATATATATATATATATATATATATCATCTTATGAAATTGCATACAATGATGTAACCATTAAAATTGTAAGTGTACAAACTGAAAGGAATTATTTATAAGGATAAAGTTGAAAGTACTGATAAGTTTTTCAAAGTGAAATAAAATTAAACATTCTGTATGACAGGGTCTAGTCATCGAGACCTAACGACTATAATCTCCAAACTAACTTCCAGATTTACAGTCTATGGAATCTGGAATATACTTACTGACATATAAATACACTTTGGTGGGATCATGTGTTCTGCGATAGGTGATTTAAATGCGAACTGTTACCAGAATTGTTGACCACAAGTATTGTTCATCAGGGTTACCCTTTGTCCCCTTTCATTTAATTCTGTTATTGATGTCCTCCTGGAAATTATATTTTCATCCTTTAACTTTTACAGATTAATTTCCAACAACGAAATTTCCTTGTCAATTTAGAGTAGTAGATTATGTAGTGTGGTTTGGGGAAGACCATGACAAAGTCCAGGCTTCTGAGCACAATAAGCAACAATGCAAGCAAACTTGAGACGTTTTTCTCTCCCTCTAAGTGCGAAATGTTGCTTCAGGACTGGTCTGAGTCAAAGCCTGAACTAATAATGGGGAGTGAATTAATTTGTTAACTACTTCACTCATCATGGAAGTCCTATAGACCGCGATGGATTGGTGTCTGATAAAATCTCAGCAAAGATTCAGAAAGTTTTATTGGCTTTAGCAAACTTATATCACCTTTCTATCAGCTAGCCAAATGGTGAGTTAACTGTGTAGTATTCCGCTGTTTTACTAAATTGGTGTGACAAATACCCATTAACAAAAGAGGATATTTGTAGGATGCTAGAAGTCCATCAAATGTGTCTTCCAAGCTTTGGTCGTGTAGTGGAGAATAATCGAGTGAGTAATGCTAATATATTCGCCGTGGGATATAAGATGGAAATTAGAAACCAGTGAATTAGGTTATGAGTCTTCACCAATTGAAGTGGTTGAGACACATATTACGTATGTATGACCGTCATCTGCCTTAATGGATGATGTTTGTATATGTAAGAGGAGGCTGGAAGAAAGTTGGAGTTGATCAAACCAAGACGTGGCACCAGTCCACAAAGTCAATGACAATTAAACTGAGTCATGTTGATAAGTGCAGACAACCTGACTTGGTTGGTAACCGAGTGATTTTTGTGACCAATGTTTAGAGATTTTGGATGATGTGGTTTAAAATTGGTTAGAATGACCCAGGTTCATCCACTCCTTATCTTTCCTGAAATCTCGAGTCCCAATATTCCTCCATACATATCTTTTCATTCTTTCTTATCGAACAACATTATCTATGTGTAATCTTTCATATTGGTATTTCTAATACATCATTAAAACTCCTTTGTGTAACTTGGACCAGGTTTCCCAGTCAATCAATCAGTCAGTCAGTCAGCTACAACGTAGGACCAGGCACATATGTGCATTGGTCGAAGTTGTCATACCTCATTAGCACAACAAGATGAACACCGGATTCATAGAAGTAGTTGTGGTAATTTATAAAAGAACTGTTGTATGTAAGGACATAGTACAGAAGAGAGATTTTGGATTATGTAGTTTGAAATCGGTTAGAATGATCCAGGTTCATCCACTCTTTGTCCTCCATTGGATCCTAATTTTTCTAAATTATCTTAAAATTGTATTTTATTATTTCATGAATACCTATTTCCTCGAAACGTATATTCTATGCCTAGTCTTTCCTATCACAACTAATACTTACAATTTCTATTGCTCGGAGATTCATCTTGACAGTTTTACCTTGCCAAGTTAATGTGGTGTGACGATTTGAACCGAAGCACATATGCGTCAGATCCCATCTTGGATTTGACTCTCAGTAAGGTTAATTCTAATATACGGACTGTAATTGTTAAAGTCTTTATCTCGTAAAAAAAGAGCTTAAATCGGTAAGTGTAAACTAATTTCTAACTTTTGACATTTAATGCATATATACTTTAAATGAGGTTTCTCGCCACAAAGAACACATACTACATAAAAACATTTAGTTTAAAAACAGAATATTAAAATGTTTATGACCAAGACGATAACTAAAGAAGTGACACATGTAAAATGGACGTTTAATTCAAACAAAAACCACTACTTCATAAACGTATATCGAGTATGAATTCTTTTAAATTTAATTAGATACTTTTCATCACGAAATAAAGACAGTTAGGCTGATATAAAAGACAATATTGAATAAATGTTTTACACTTAGTTTTAAACAATTATAAAAGTGTTTTGGAATCTCTCAGAATTATCTTTAAAGAATCGAATTTATTGTTGTTATTATTATTATTTTAAAGTGCCACCTTTAAGAACCAAGTAAGCCTTCGTCTCATTCATGGAGTCCCATATAGAACTGAACTTTTGCCCTGTTACAGTTCCATTATTTCCAGGATTGTTCTATGGCTATTAAATCGGCATGTTAGCATATTTCATCATCTTTTCCTAAAATATAAAGCTGTTATAAAGTTAAGTCTTCATTCTTAGTACTTGTGTATACATGTCATCGTTGAAAGGTTATTATGTACCAATTGTTTGATATACCTAGCCACATTACATTCGTCCTTGTATTGTTAGTGTCTCTTTGGTCATTTTAGCCGATCAGTAACGAAATACAGCAGAATCGAACACATCAGGTCTTATGGAAAATGTATTATCATTGACCCACTGAAGAGAAGTATGATGGTATGTATTTTACAACTTCTGTTAATTTTAAAATTGGATAAGTAAAACAATTCTCAAAAAGTGGAAAAAACAAATATTATTAATTTCTCATGCAGTGACTCAATAACAACTCTACTGATGACCAGGAATATGAAACTAGATTTGGAGAACGTGACGTTTATAAGTTTTGAATAACAATGAAGCAATTGGTCAGTGTACCCTACTTTACAGTGGTTTTTCAACTATGTCAAATTTCGACTGAGACTCAGAGCTACATGATTACAAGTAATAAAAAAACCTTTAGCTTAGGCGGCCGGATAAAATAACTAGTTTTTATCCAAATACGCGCATCTCGTAGTCAAGAGCACTGACCTGTACATGACTATTGGGTTACATTAATTAAATACTTTTAAATCAAAATAAAATAAATTTCTTTGCAAACTAAAGATAATGAAAAATCACCTGTATAGGATGTAAAGATTCATCGAATATTTCAATCATAGGATCACAAGCAATTTTATGATTTCTATGCTTAATCTGTAAATAAATTGCCTGAGCTAATGCGCGAACAGTGGATTTAGGATCTGGTCTAGTTACAGTTGAATCATGCAGCCATATAGTTGATGTAGAACTGGAACGATAAAGTACAGGAATGGTATTTTGACGAGTTCGTGGAACCTGTAATACACATAACGAAGAATATATATATATATATATATAGAGAGAGAGAGAAAATATTAAATATTTTGGAAATTATTAATTACACTGAAATTATAATGTTAATTTGAAGGAGAGAAGTTGTTGTTGTACGTAATATTGAGAATAGTTTAGTCTTTATATCGGCATGTCAGTGTATGAACTATTTTGAATAATTGAATTACTTACACGGACTGATAATGTAACAGTTTCAAAGCATCAAAGCTTGGAATGGCACTTTGATTGAGAAGTTATAAAATTGGTTGGAATGAGGAAATTGAATAAGTATCGTATAAAGATAAAAGACCCGATATATTTGGACCGAAACGAAGTCAATATGGTGAGCAGTTTGAGCTCAAACATACACAGTCACAAATTTGGCCAAATATATACCCAATTCGACAGTTCAATGTTCATCATCACTACTAACAAATATGAGCCTTGAAAACTAAGTATATATCTGTGAACTCTGCCATGAGCTACACTTTTTATGCAGGGGGTTAGTGATAATAACTAGGTGTTTAAGTTGACGTATGCTGAACAGATATCAGATAAGTAACTTCAAAGTTAATATTCGGACGTTTTAATCACTAACTTAGTAACTGATTCATACAAAACTCAGACTAGGATGATACAACTTGAAACCTTTCACCTTCCAAACCTATTCTTACTTCAAGTAACTTAAATCGTTTAGATCAGAAAAAAATACACATAATATGACTTAGCAGTCACACCCATACAATAAGGATAAACAGCAATACGCATCTGTGACGGACGTGTTCACCGTTCCTTATATTATACCTTACAGCCTACTAAATCTATAAGTGCCGTTACAGTCCCACAGTTTTTTGTTCTTATGCAGTATTATCGAGAAGCATTGCAAGAAAGTACTTTTTTATTCATAAAAACAAGTTGATTTTGACAAAAATAAATATCACAGATTGAAATCATGGGGCAATTGAAGCTAGACCACCATGGAAAACCTGGAAGCACTGGATGGCCGCTTTGTCCTAGTATGGGACTCCTCAGCAGTGCGCATCCACGATCCCGTACCCCGCGAGACTCGAACCCACGACCTATCACTCTCGCGCCAAGCGCTTAACCAACTGGACCACTGAACCGGCATCCAATGGTGTTAATGTCTAACTTCGACCAATCCACGAAGTTGCGCAACCGTACATTATTGTCTTCAGTGAGCTGATATCTCACAAGAGACCTGGTTGAACTCCACTGGTCACGGCTTCTCACTAGAACTCCAGGAGTATTTCTTGAAGTTAGTCACTAGTGAGCAGATGATTATTATCAAAAGGGGTTTGTGGAGTTTTAGAAATTTCACAGATTGAAATCATGAGTCAATTGAAGCTAGACCACCATGGAAAGCCTGGAAGCATTGGACGGCCTGGGTTCGAATCTCGCGGAGTAAGGGATCGTGTATGCACACTGCTGAGGAGTCCCATACTAGGACGAAACGGCCGTCCAGTGCTCCCAGTTTTTCCATGGTGGTCTAGCTTTAATTGACTCATGATTTCAATCTGTGAAATTTCTAAAATCTCCACAAACCCCTTCTGATAAAAATAAATATCCCATTTAAAAATTTATTATTATGCATACAACATGAATATATACATAAGATAAAAACTAATGAACAAATAAAATATTACACTGTAAAAATCATCAAATATGAAAGTAAACGGTTATTTTCAAATTACAGTAAATTAGAAAAATACATATTCAATCATCAACTTACATTACGATCATATTTAGTTCGAATTTCACGAAGTTCTATGGAAATAAAAGAGAATTAAACCAAAAGTAAAAACCATTTTCTATTGAATTTGAAAAATAATATGTAAACAATGATATTAACAAGTGGCATTACCATGTTTTAACTTGATTTCATATAAACTGAGCATTGAGTAGATTAATATCAATAAAAATAATCTAGTTGTAATATTCTACTGAGTAGAAAAATTAAGTTTTTGAATTGTTTGACATTTCGTAACTTAGTGTAGGCCACTCCTTCAGAGAATAAAAAACAAATTAAATTAACCCACGTTTCAATAGTACAAAGGAATAAACTAAGAATATTTGGTGCAAAAAATTAAGAAATCCCTAAAACTGAGCTTAGATACAACTTTGTTTACTTTTAACTGGACATTATACAACTAAACAAACGGAGTAGCAATGCGATCTCACTGGTCCCCGATTGTAGCCTACCTGTTTATGTCAAATATAGAATCAAATATTTTCGCCAAAGACACTAAACCACGAATTTAGTTCACATATGTAGATGATACTTCTGTTACCATAAAAAGGACTCATCTAAAATATTCCGCTAAATTGATCAATACTCTCTCGTTGCACATTAAATTTATGTACGAGAATCAAAGGGAACACGGTGAGCTGTAATTTTTAGATTGTTCAGTTAAAAGAAATCTAAGTGGAGCTCTAAATCTAACCATTTACCGAAAACCAATACACTCAAATCGTTATATCGACTTTAATTCAGAACACCATTCAATGCAAAAATCTCTCTAGCCCTAAACCTCTTTAGAAAAGTAAACAAGATCACTATATCTGAAGAGTATAAACAAAAAGAACGAAAGGATATGATTAACAGCTTACGACTCAATAATTTTCCTATGAAGATTATTAAAAGTGCGATATAACGAGACGTCTTACTGTTAAATAATAATCCGAATGAAATATCATGGATTGGTACTGTAGTTTTACCATACCACCATAGTATAACAGAACTCGAGTCTTAAAACAACACAATTAAAGTATATTACAAAACAATGAACACCCTTCAAAATGCTTTGGTTCGCATAAAGGAAAGAATCCCCTTTATGTCAACACAAAATTATATCTACAAATTAGGATGTGTCGGTTGTGATGCCTTCTATATTGGAGAGTCATCTCGTGAAATCTTGACTCGAACCAAAAAACACCTTAGGTAAACAAAGAAACCGTAGAACTGGAAAGAAACGAATTAAATAGGCAATGGAAGTCCATACCATTTTCAACAACCATCAAGTCGCTATTAAAAACACCAAAATAATACAAAGAAGGCTTTTCCAACTGCAAAGAAGAGCGAGTAGCAGGTTTCCATATGTTGCTTAATTTTACTGTCCTCAATAGAAAAGGAGACCTCACTACCCTCCGACTTCGACCATCTCTTCGAGCTACCATGTCTGATTTTATTCACACCTCACACCATTATCGTACATACAAGTTCAACTCTCCTTTCACATCACAAATGTCACATTTTTCATCCTTTAACATACATACACAAAAATATGTAAATATGTCTCACATAAACCGTCTTGACCGGAATAACATGACATTGACTTGATCAGACATGCTTTGATTGATTGCACCAAATATTCTTACTTTGTTCCTTTGTACTACTTAAACTTAGGTTAAATCAATTTGTTTATATATTCTCTAAAGAAGTGGCTTGATGATATTAACAATTTACGGAAAATTACAATTACAGATTCCAAGCATGAAGTGAACAAACATTAAACACTTTCGATTAAAATGATTGAAAAGAGTAACATTTTTAAAGTGCGTTGTATACTTGATTAAATTGGTAATAATGTCCACCTTCACAAACCAATAACTCTGATTTGAATAACTAATCCAACACAGAGTAACACCTTTTTTGAAAGAGGTTACAGAGAAAAGGTGTAGTGCTCCGTCAATATATCAATCTAGTATTTGTGCTATTAAACAATAATTGAATAGGTAGGCACTTATTTCTAAAAAGATCTTTTCATAACACAAAGATGACTAAACTAGTTTGTGATCCACGTTTGTATTCATCCTCTACTACAGGAAGTGTTGCACAGTCGATGCTTCGTAAAGTCTGTATATTTTTATGAGCGCAGATGACTTTAATGATATTTTTCTGAAGTCTAACAGTAATAATGTTTTAAGTCTTTTCCGTTCTCTGTAGACTAGGTTATTTAAATTATAATGGATTCCGAGGTTCATTTGTTTCAATGATAAATATATTACACTAAAATAGGTCGATTTTCAATGTCGATTAGGGTTTTAGTCAAGTTATCATCAGTACGATAGAAATGGATTAATTTCTTGATACGCTGTGTTTATTGGAGAAAAACTTTTTTTATAAAAAAGCGGTAAATTATATAAAAAGTTACTAAGTAATTAATTACTTTATCCATAATTACATGCAATCAGTCGTGAAATTAAATCCCAATATACCAAAGCTTGTAACAAAAAGTTAATATCAAACTAATCACTCAAGTTGTTTTAAAAAATGACCGATCAAATTTCAGTTTTAAATATCAAATCTGGAGTGGAACAAGCTCCTACGAATGGAGAAACAATGAAATAAAGGAATAGAAAGTATGCGATGAAATTAAGGTCTAGGAAAATTAAAAAGTCAATGCATCTGCCCTAATAGAAAATATTTGGATTCATCTTAACTACAGCCTCCAACCCCATCTATGACGACAGCTCACACCAATATCCTATGATCTCATTAAGTGGATTGATTTACTCATAACTAATTCCTTATCGAATTGTATAGTTTCTGTTCAAATAGCTAAGTAGTTGTTTACTGAAAGATATTAATATTTGATCGATTTAGTGGCACATTTACTTAAACATCATGTACCAAGTAACCGAAACAGATGCGGGTTTTACTATAGAGTATATGTGTATGTTACTTACTATTCAATAAGTTAACCTTGAATTGAGCATTAAACATTTAGTACAAATCAATTATTTTTTGGTTACTGAAATGGAATATATCACCGACAAATAACCGAATCTCATTATACTGAGAATATAATTAGGTTGTTATGCTAAGGTTACAACGAATACACTCAATGTACTACTTGGTAAATAACCTATGGAGGGAAACGAATCCATTGGCATTACATTTACTGCCAAGTAGTGCCTAGAATTGGTGGGGAATATTTGTAGCTCAGATGGATGATTTTGGTAGAGTGCCTAGAGCCTGAGGAGGAACGTGAACTACATTGTGAGTAGTCTAAACCAATAAACAGTTACTGCAAATTGCTGTTAACTTAACCCTGCTGTAACTTCATATAGGTATTTCACTGAATAAAAAGTAAAAACTGGAAGAATTATAAATCAGGCATTCAATACGGTTTCTACTATTCCAATTACTCTTAAGTAGCGATATCTCTAGTCAATCAAGATAGACAAATAAAAATGACAAATTATTGACAGATAGATGTGAAATGGGTATAATCAAGTGCACGAGACAATTGCTTTGAATAATCTAACTCTGTAACGATGAACAGTGTTGCACCGTAGATTATGAAATATAGCATTTGTGATAGAGATAATGATCATGAAACTGACTGATTCCATAAAGGTAGGTGAGGCAATATTTCGGCTTCTGATCTTTAGTCTTAAAATTCAATGCATGAATCTCTGAATTGCGATGCTATACAGAATGTGCATTTTATATAATAATTCTACTTGGGTGATAAAATAGGCAAGAGGTGAACGAAATGCACATGACTGACACATAATTATTCTAGCGACCTTACTCAGATGACATGAGAAGAAATGAATTCCCATGCATGAAATCCGTCCATTTCTAGTAATTTATAACACCATGCAAATACGCTCCATCAACAAACTATTCCATCAGGGAATGTCCTTAAAACAGATTTACTCGATAAAGCGTTTCATACATACATACAAACAGCGTAAATATATCAAACCTGAAACTAATCATGTAAGTATTTCGCAATACGGGCTACGATATATATTTAATAATAAGATGTTACATTTTTAAGATGGAGATTTTGTGTATGGAAGAAAGAACTTAGTAAAATCAGTGCTTCTGTTTTGTTTTTACAAATCTAAAAAGATTATGAATAATTACGATGTTAAGGCTTTTTCAATCAATTAGTTAATACAGAACAAAAAAAGTTCGATAAAAATAATACATTGTGCTAAATGATAATACAACAAGAATACAGAAAATCAATAAACAGCATGAGTGATCACTACAGTCTTTTTTTTAATAAATAAAAAACTTTTAAGCTTGAAGTTTAACATTGTTTCTTTATCAATTTCTTTACTCATATAATTAATATACACCTGAAACTTTGTAAACATTACTTTGAAATATACATGTTATGTGAAGGCTAAAGATGTTTTAAACATAAGTAGGTGGGAGCTGAAATCAAAACCTTAATCTAAAAGTTTAATCCAATTGAGTTACGGTACCACGTTGGTCTGCTTAATAATTCTAAGTCTAATGCTCACCCCTTTTCCTTTCGGATATCCATTATTATTACCCCCCATGTATATGAACAATCACAATGCAAACGCGTAGCTCATTTAAGTTTCACTTATTTTCATTCTTTTAATTGTTATGGATTAATTGGCATACTTCTTTTCATGTATTGATTAGTTCTTGTTAAGTTTTTATGACTCAATGGCTTTTGAAGAAATAACCTGACATATGTTGTTCGTTCACAAGTGGATGCTTTAAAGTGATACTTTCATGAGATGAAACTATTGACCAATACTGAGTCCACACAGAAAAATGCATCATTGACGTTTTGAAACAATATACACTAAAGAGGCTAAGTAACCAATGACTATAAACCATTATTAAGTCTTGTGAACCTTCTCAGGAGGAGGACTCATCAAAGTCTGTCACAATCATCCAAATATGGGTCACATTTGAATAAATAGAAAACGAGAGTGATAGGATAAAATGAGATGATGTTTATTAACCAGTACACCAACTGAAATTAGACATTAGAGAAAGATATCTTACTCTTCATTGATAAAGACAAAATTATACTAGTGATAAAATTTATCAGTATTAATCAAACGTGTGGAATGTTTACAACAAACTAAGTAAAAACATACTTCTTTCAATGTCTTTACTTGAACGTTGCATAAATAATGTTCTTTTAGTTGGATTTAAAGATGGATCAGCCTCAGTATCTAAAAAATGGATTAGGACAAGAACACTGTGAGTAAGCTGTTAAATATATAACACGGTGTAGCACAATCTTGTGAATAATCACGACTCAACAAGTACAAAATTTATTTCTAAATAAACAGCAATAAATTAAGCATAAATAAAAAAACGCTTAAATAAGTATTAAATGTTCGGAAATAGTCAATAGGAGGCCATGAACTTATGTTTCATAACTAAAGGGACACTATAATTTTAAGTATAAAACGTCCATTAGGTTGGTATTACTGTTGCTTGGGGCTGGAACCATGTCATTCATTGATATAGTCGGAAAAATTTTAAGTACTAGATCCCATCATTGGATAGGTCAGTCAGTCGTAAACAGAGTAGAATGTGGGACAAGTGTGTACTGGGTCAAGATCGTAACCAATGGTTGGAGACTCTGGGTGACATGACTCAAAATCAATAACAATGGAGTAGGTGTATATATTCAATGTCTTCCCTTTAAGAGATTAAAATCACTGTACTATGTCCTTACATACAACAGTTCTTTTATAAATTACCACAACTACTTCTATGAATCCGGTGTTCATCTTGTTGTGCTAATGAGGTATGACAACTTCGACCAATGCACATATGTGCCTGGTCCTACGTTGTAGCTGACTGACTGACTGATTGATTGACTGGGAAACCTGGTCCAAGTTACACAAAGGAGTTTTAATGATGTATTAGAAATACCAATATGAAAGATTACACATAGATAATGTTGTTCGATAAGAAAGAATGAAAAGATATGTATGGAGGAATATTGGGACTCGAGATTTCAGGAAAGATAAGGAGTGGATGAACCTGGGTCATTCTAACCAATTTTAAACCACATCATCCAAAATCTCTAAACATTGGTCACAAAAATCACTCGGTTACCAACCAAGTCAGGTTGTCTGCACTTATCAACATGACTCAGTTTAATTGTCATTGACTTTGTGGACTGGTGCCACGTCTTGGTTTGATCAACTCCAACTTTCTTCCAGCCTCCTCTTACATATACAAACATCATCCATTAAGGCAGATGACGGTCATACATACGTAATATGTGTCTCAACCACTTCAATTGGTGAAGACTCATAACCTAATTCACTGCTTTCGAATCTTCGCCTAGTATCCTGATTCGGTCTAGGCATCCGGGCAGTATCAAAGCCCACACACAAATCAAATGAAATGAAATGACTTCGCCGAGTGCTCTATGGCTGAACTCGGCATTACTCACTCGATTATTTCAAAATACATGGCCAACGCTTGGGAGATACTTATAATCTTTTGTTGCACGCTTACACATCAATACTCCGAAATAACCACTGGTCTGCGGTGAATGGCTCCTTAAGAAATCCACCGAGCAGTATTCCAGCCCTTACACAAATCGAATGATTTGTGTGGCGCATATATATTTGGTGTCTCGTTGTATCAATGTTAATGTGTTGAAATGAAAAAATACTAGTAATTAATAAAACAGTCAGGCCATAATTGATTGAAGAACAAGCGACCTACAAGCTAGTTTCCTTCAATCATCTATGACTGTCAACCATATTTATTTTGTGTTCATATTCGGTATCTAAACGAGTTACTTTATTACGTGAGAAATGAGTTTCTCTGGGTTAGTGATCTTGTCTTTGATTTTAAATCATTTGCAGCCTTAAGTCAATAACACTGTTTCATGAGCAGCCATCACTCCGTTATATTTCACAGCATTGAGTTTATTTATTGAATAGCGTTCTATTCACTGATTTTAGCAATAGGAATTTCGATCATCAAAATCCTTTGGCCATAACAACTTATCGCTTTTTCAGACAATCAATCAGTGATATAAAATCAACTTATGACATAGACGAGTGTTTATTGAAGTTTGAGTAAAAACGAATACGTAACGTGAATGATATTAAAAAGCATATCAGATTATTGCTTTAACACATAAAAATGCAAACTACCAGCTTACACACATAATAAAAATAATTCGTAATTAATATTTAGAGCATAAAGCGTTATAATCAAACAGCTGTAGTGTCTAGCATTATGTCAGGCCCACATGGGTTGCTCTAGCTTCCGGACAGGCCGATTTATTTGTCACTCTAAAGTCACACTTTAACCTTGTCGGTTATTCACTTACAACCTTGACTGATTTTATATGAGCGTGTGTGTACCGCTCACAACATTCCTCACATATCTTTAGCTTATTTTCGTCTGGTTAGAAATATTGATTTCCGCTTTATCAAATGGAGTTGGCGCGCTTGTCTTTCCGATCTGCTTCTCCATTCCGTTTCTCTGATTGCCTGTGTGGGACGAGTGTATGAAATATACATATCCAAAATTCATGCTCATATTTGGTTTATTTGATTCCGCTATTCACTAACGCGAGTTAAGTTGATAATTATATACGAGGGTATCCGGGATGTATATTTCACTAACATCACTGTTTGACCAAATCGGAGTCAAATAGGTGGGCCACGAAACATCAACTAACAAATAGCTTGTTGAAGGTTCAAATTAACTTGGTACTTTAATTATGAAAACTTATCATCGACCGAAAGACTTACCATCTGGTTCTCTCTCTGAGATATGCTGCAAGTTTGAAGTGCTTGATTGTGTGTAGACTGAGGAAAGCATGAAGTCTGAAGGTTCGACGCTCATACCAAAGTCCCCTTGTGTTCGATAAGAAAAGTCTCTCACCCCTTGCATATCTCCTAGAGGAGCTGGACCATTGTGCCCTGCTCTAGAAATGCGACTATCTGAACGATGATAAGGATAAGAATTATTTAAATGTGAAGGATCATTTGATAAAGAACGATAACCAGATAAACCATCCTTGGCACATTCTGAGTGGCAACCTGATTGTGATTTTCCTACATGGCTAACATGATTAGGAACGGCAGATCCATAATTGATGACATTTGTTTCACTCATCGGTTTGTCATGAGACTTCCAAGCACAACAAGCACAAAAGTTTCCCATTTTTAGTTTGTATTTTGAGCTAAACACATAGAAGTCGAAGGTACTACTAACTCATTGTTCGAACAAAAGACAGGCTGAAATTTTTCAAAAAAACATGACTTTATTTATATTTCTGTATTATAAACACATTAAATTCAGCATAATACTGTCTTAGACCTAAAAGTAAGTCAGTGTACTAGTAAACATTATTTCTTATTCGTCAACGGATACTTGTTTATTGGATTGGACCAACTTTAACCAAAGCATACATAGTTGAACTTAACTAATTAACAGTTAGTTGTTCAGGTTGTTGTTGCCTTATACTATAATTCACAACAATCAGGATGAAAAGATTTCGGATGTGATTCAAATAGAGAAAATGTACGTTTTTACAATGTCATTTTGCAGAGTACATAATTTCGTACCTTATACAGTATCCTTAATCCAAAACATGGTTAGTAAAGAAATATGTTTATGCTAATGACAATGGAAGAAATAGCGACTGAAGTAGTAAATTATTGTAACAACTTTGACGAACAAAACATTTCACGAATAAATTATCCAAGGATTGAAAGTCTATAACGACTATGACTTGATGGAGTATAGAGTCGTGCATGAAATGGATCAGTGAAAATTGTGGCCTTTTAGTGATTGTAGTGACTGAAGGATGTACTTAATATCATGATCCATACCCTGACAGAATGTGGATTGCTGCCTAGAGTACTACTGGATCTGGAAAATGCTGTGGAGAGACTTCATAACTACATTGATTTATGCAGTTACCGACTGTAAGTTTAAGCCATTTTAGCAATGCGGACGCAATTACTAAAGATATCCTAGGTATCATGGCTCAACATTTATAAATGGTGTGTGTGGTTTTATTCCTTAACTCGTTTCGTATCTTAAAAATCTAATTCTTCAACATTTGCTCACTTCATGTAGACCAAGAACCTTCATGACTCTATTATAATCACTTGTTAATTTCTTCTTTATGCGGCATCATGAAATTTAAGGATATAAACATAATATAAGCAAATTTGTGTCAGTGCGGCTAATATTTTGAATCAATGCTTAATACATGATCCACCCCGAGTTTCATCTAATTAATACATATAGCACACCTCTGATTCACATCACTTGATGGAGGTCATGAAGCACCAAACGATTTACCGACATACTCTTGAATATGGTGGTCTTGGATGCAGTCAGAAGTATGAGGGCAGTTATCACTTCCCGGTTGCCCACACCGTGGAAGGGTTCTTCTAGAGGTACCCAAAAATGAAATCGGGTTAGGGTTGGTCTTAGTGACCTGATAGCGTGACTGCAGTGCCCGAGAGACAAGCGCTAGAGATCGATCACACACGACCATTTTGTGGGTAATTTTTGTGTTAGCTCCATACATATTGAGAACTTACTTCCGGAGACGGATATATGTAAGATAAAGTGAGATGTGCATTTTTAGGGTCGACCTTTTCTAACCCCATCCTTCCTTTGTGTGAGTGCAGCATCGCTATTATGCTGGTTGTCTAAAGGAAACACCATACTGCTAGCACACCTCTGTACAGTTAGCAGTACAACTTCGCCCTCGGACCTTGGTTTTGCCGCCTTTAGTCCTACCGCTCTTTAACCAACATGTCTAGCATGGTAGGACCCTGAGGAACGACCGTTTCAGCCAATATAGCCCGATTGGTTTATCACAATAGGGAAACCTGGCCGCCACGTCAAGGTAGCAGCAACGGTTGGGGAATTCAAAGCCGCTAACAGAGCAGTCTTGTCCAATTTTGGTCTTACGCAGTTCCCCTCTATCTTCATACACTAATCAAAATAACTGAAATAGATGATTACTTCTTATCCACAAAATATTCCGATTAGTTGATTTTATCTGGGATAGTCAGTTAGCTGGTCATATCCAACTAAGAATCCCGGGTGAGGATAACTATTTCGGTCTACCAGTGTTATCATCGCAGAGAAAATCACGGAGATGTAACGAGTAAAAGACAAGATATAAAGTGCAATGAATCTAAGCATGGAGAATACAATTTACAAGCCACAAACGAAAATTAAGAATCGAAAACATGAAATGACACCAAACTAAAGATTAAGTATAAATGCAACTGTTCAGTGGGATTGTGTTATCCGGCGGCTTGGAACATTCGCAGTTTAGACCAGTGGTATTTCAAGCTTCAAACTGTTGCATAGACCAGGAGACAGAATAGGGACTTGAAAAAAAGGTTTAATATTGAGAAACAAGTAGAAAATGTTTTTAAAAGGACCAATTAAGCTAGAACACAACAGAAGACGGAATTAGGAGGAAAATCAGCCGCCAATCGACACTTATTTGCTGAACGTTACATGCAAAGCATTACAAGTTCAGTAAAGAGTACAACCATAAGGGCATATGTATCTTTAAATCTAACACGTAGATAAGTTTATAGTGACCTAAAAATGTGGTGCACTTTGGGAATAAAGTGCTAAGCCTGCCACCTCACACACCTCGTAACTCAGCAGTAAAGCCTTCACCTCTAGTAATTATACAAACCACATGCTTCAGCCGTTGTGTCGATAACCTTGTAATTATGACCACCGTTTAGTATCTACACAAAATGGCACATATTAAAATATTTGCGTACTAGGAATTCGGATTTAAAATGAGCGAGCTTAACAACTAAAAATTCCCTTCCATTAAATACATAATTCAGGTTGCAAGTTACCCATGAGCCCGAAGACCTTGAGATTCATAGTAGCCAGCTTTCGGCGCCAGAAACATAACCCTCAGTCTTCAGTCTTCAGCAATAAGGATAGGAGGTCTGTCGACCTATATTAATCCTTGCAGTTTGTAATACTGTGAAGGTCCAACCTCGTTTTGAATATATTAACAGACGGTGCTGATATTACGTGTTCCGGTAGGGAATTCCAGTAATTCACTACTCGGTGCGAGAAACGAAACTCCAGACGTAAACGGTTTGATCTCGGTTTTTGAACTTTCTTCGAATGTCCTCTCAAGTGATCGGTTCTAGACGGAAGCAAAAGATAAGACATGTTAATACCAAGGTCATCGTTCAGTATACGATAAGCCAATATCAGATCACCCCGTATTCTACGGTAAGATAACGGAAATAAGTTAAGGTGTCTCAGTCTGTCTTCATAAGATAGGCCAGATAGACCTTGTACCATCTTAGTAGCTCGTCGTTGGACTCTTTCTAGCATATCTGCTTCATATTTGAAACAAGGACTCGCTGCTTGAATCCCGTATTCTAAATGTGGTCGCACATAAATCGGGTATAGTAATCCAAACATTTCATCATCTAAATACTGAAAAGACCTACGAATTGACCATAATACCCTATAGCCTTTTGCAGCAGCAGCCTTACATTGACTAGTCGTTTTGAGATCATTGCTTAATATAACTCCTAAATCTTTATAGTTTCTTGCTTTGGGTAGCACGAATCCACGTGGTGTATAGTGATACGCTTCATCAGAGTTATTTAACTGCATCCCTACACTCTTATTAGGATTTACTTCTAGTGACCACCTGTCCAACCATGCCACCAATGAGCTAAGATCATCCTGTAATACTATTTTGTCCGACATACTATGTATGGGTCTCCAAATCTTTGTGTCATCAGCGAAGAGTAGGACGGATAATTTTGCTACAGTTGGCAATTCATTTACATAAAGTAAAAAGAGAAGAGGACCTAGGATTGTGCCTTCGGGAACCCCGCTTTTACAGGTACCCACGAGGAGAGAGCCCCATTAACCCTTACCCTTTGTCTCCTGTCACGGAGAAAGTTACTTATCCAATCGACGACTGTGTTATGGATTCCAAAACGTTTCAGTTTGAATTTAAGACCAGAGTGTGAAACCTTATCAAAGGCTTTACTTAGATCTATGAAAATTACACCCACAGGAGCATTCCGATCCTTTGCCGCAACCCACTCTTCTCGTGCAATGAGAAGATTTGTCAAGCAAGATAGGCCTTTCCGAAAACCATGTTGTGCCCTGGAGAAAAGATTTTGCCCTTCAACATAGTTTAGAACAGCTATCCGAATGACTTTCTCCATCAGTTTCACAACTGCACTAGTTAAGCTAACGGGTCTATAGTTACTAACTAAATCCCTACTCCCAGCCTTATACACCGGGCTTATTATGGGGTCTTTCCAGTCTCTAGGAAGTCTGGACTGTCTCAGAGACATGTCGAATAGTATCGCTAATGGTTCAGCAGTTTCATCTGATATGGCTTTCATAATCCTAGGATGAATATCATCGGGACCACTGGACTTATCAGGTTTGAGATGCTGAAGTAGCCTTAAAACAGTATCTTTCTCAATGACTACAGGATCCACCAGCGAGCCGTCACGGTCACGATGAATCATTGGTCGTTCCTCATTACCGATAGAAAACACTTTACTAAAATATTCCGATAAAGCTTCAGCTTTTTCGGCATCATTCTCTGCTAAGATTAACGGATTGTCTCGTATCAAAAGTGATGGAATTCCATCGCTTCTCTTAGTTCGCCTTTTTATATACGAGAACAACCGTTTTGGACTATATCTAGAATCCATAACCAATTGTTTTTCGTATGAATGTCTAGTCTTGCTTATTAACGCTTTACAGGCATTCCTAATCTTACAATAACTGGATCTGTATTGTTCTAAGCCAGTAGAGATGAACATATTCCAGTGATTCTTCCTTTTTTTAAGGAGTTTCCTGACCGTTTTAGTTATCCATGGTGGACTATTATTCGGTCTTCGCGGTACCAGGTATGGTATGAACGGGGACGTAACTAGTCTAAATTTACCTTTAAATACAGACCATGCTTCTTCAACTGATATGCTAGTATCTACTAACCAATCTGTCTTAGCAGCGCATTCCTGAATGGCTGATATGTTAGCTTTTCATACATTTGGGCGAGGTGTAACCTGATCGTATAACATGTCCCTAGTTCTAAACGCGAATGACAAAACAGCGTGATCGCTGTTTACTAACGGTGGAAGAATATTTAAGTCGACAATATCCTCAGT